TTTTATATGTTTATCGATCTCCTTCTCTAGCATCAACCTGAACTTCTTGAATACCTCAAACACCTTTGACTTTACCTATAGGAAATACACTTAAGCTTTCCGAGAAAAATCATCTATAAATAAAATGAATTACTTCTTACCACTTCATGAACTAGGAGTGATCGATCCACACAGGTTAATATGTATTAGTCCAAGCTATTCTTCTACCTTGTACTCGGTTGTCTTCGAAAAACCTATCCACAAATGTTTTCTGAGTACACACTCTTCAAAAAAATTCCTTTCAAACTCCATGCTTGGTAGTTCAAGTACCAGTTCCTTCTTTAACAGCTTAGGCAGCCTTTTAAAATTCAAGTGGCCAAACCAAAAATGTGATACCATGGCTTTGTCGTTCACATCAAGCTTCGAGCACTTATTCTATAGAATATTCAACTCCAACTTATACATCATGTTTTTCTTCATCTATACCCAACCAAACATTTGAGTTTGTCCTTCAAGTAAATACTTGGTCCTTCATTAGAACCTAGTTACCCTTCTCCATCAATTGACTTATGCACATTATGTTACTATTGAGCCCAAGAATGTAATAAACATCTTTTATCCCTCAAACCCATCAATCCTTCTATAAATACTAGATTGTTCCACGTTCTTTCACGACCACCTTAGAGTCATCTCCAAATTATACATATCTGGCCTCCACCTTGGTGAGTTCTTTGAAAAAACTCTCATTTTCACACATATGATTACTCGCCCCTGTGTCCAAGTACATTGACTAAGTTGTTTGAGTAGCCTGAGCTTGACTCTTTTGTTTGACTCTTTCCTACCTCTACTTCTTTAAACTTTCTCCTTTTCTTGGTACTTTTTGACTATAACACATCCATTTTCTTTAGTATTTCATTTTTTCATCAAGTCAACCAAAACTCCTTGTACAACTCCATCTGATTTGTCATCTGGTTAGAACCACCACCTAGTACCTCAATCTCAAGTGTCCTCCCCTTGCTTGTCATATTTCTAGTAGACACCATGTACATATGTATACCTCGACGCTATGATGGGTTTAAATGTTCTTACTAGATCAAGATGTGCTCGTGCTTCACATGTGTCCATTATCTTTTAAACACTCCTTTCAACTTGAAGTATCTTTGTGTCTCCTTGTTTGAATATTTTTACCTTGATCACGAGATAAAAGTCTTTGCTAAAGGAGCTTGCAATGCAACTTTGATGTTCAAGTTAGTAATATGTTAGACAATAAATATTGTAATAATTAAATGTATGTCATAATATATTAATAATGTCTATTTATAGTACCTAGACGAACTTTATTCTTAGCAAGCCTATAATTTATAGGTGTGTTTCATTTTAGGGTTTCTTTTTGTGATTGATCACCTTAATCCTTCATTAGTCTCCATTAGCTATTCATATTATATTTATTAGGGTATTGGTGCTAGTGTGATTGTTTGAGATTGTCTCCTTAAGTGGTATTTAAGTCGAGGTATATTCATCCTCAGCCCTAAGTACATTTATTCCCCTAGTTAAGCTTGAAGTTTTCGTGATGGTTGAGAGTGTTCAGTATTTCTTTGTGTGTTTAGCATTATTGTATGTGCTATGATGTTTTGGCATTATTAGGTCCTCATGGTACATACGTAAAATAAAGGTTCATATTTACAGTCTATTTCTCATTTATAAGTTACAGTCAATGCACATTATTGTTACCTACAAATTTATTACTCCAATAAGTACTAAAAATTTCTCCATAGAATATAATTCAATATCTAAAACAAAGTTCATGCAGCCTCAGTAATTTCTAGTATGTATCGTCGTAATAAAAGTTGTCATAATGAATACTGACAAACATTATACCATAAAATCGTCTCAATTTACATCCTCACGATAAATTAATTAATCCAAGAATGAAATAAATTTAATTTAAAAATAAAACATTCTGCCTCTTAACATGGAAAAATTGAACTCCATCTAATGCTATTTCTATTCACATTCCACATCTTGAAAAATCTTGTTATTACTAAACCTTCGAATAGAGCATTCATACAAGTTTAATTAAAAGATAAATATAATTTGCTATACGATTAATCAATTAAAAATAACCTCTAATATAAATTTTAAATAATGATTAATAATCATTGATCTAGTTATTATTACTTATATATATAAATAATGATTAAAGGTCTCATTTATAATCAAATTGTAATTTTGGATCACATAAAATTCTAACTTAAAACAATCTCCATTTAAGTGCCCACATTAACATCTTTTACAATCCCCAATTGGAATTAATGAAGGTAATTAGCATTATTTCGCGTAAAAACTCATTCATTACTGAACAAAATCCACGCATGAAAAATTCAATTGACAGTTGGATTACATAAAAAATAAACTCAATAAAATCAAAAGCCAACACTCATAAAAGAAAAAAAACTATTATTAAGCTTCTAACGTGTGAAAAATAAAATTTAAGGGTGGAGATTTTATGGATATATATATATATATATATATATTTACTGGGGTGATCCCATTACCATAAAACATAATCAACAACATAAAATTAAACCAGCGACCAAACAGAATTATTCCACAGACCGAAAACCATCAATATGGTACTTCATTCACTAAAATTTGAGAAAGCTACCTCAAAATATTGATGAATAAGAACATGTACTTGAAACGTTCCCTTGAGTTTAGCCTTTTTAACACACCTTGCAATTCTTTCCTGTCAAGTTGAGGAAGATCACTGCAATATCTAATTCACACCCTTCCAGTTCCGGAGACTTCAATCGAACGAGTATATCTACATAAAAATATGTGCATTGTGGAAAATTGAAATGGTAAAAATCAAGGAAAAACGATTTTGGGTTACAATTAATGAAAAAGAACTCAAACCGGAAATGATTTAAGAAATTTATCTTTTCTTCTCCTAATCAATTATATTTTCTTCTCCTAACAATAAATTTATCTTTTCCACCTAACGATGAATGGTTATATATAAACTAGAGGTTCATATTTACTGCCTAATTCTCATTGATAATTGTCAATACATATAATTGTCAGCTAAAAATTCGTTACTCCAATAACTACTGAAAGCTTCTCCATAGAATATTATAGTGAGTCAGAATTCAATATCTAAAACAAATTCATGCAGCCTTTCAGTTACACTTCCAGTTTCTAGCCTATGCCCAATTATATTTAAAAGTCTTAAGAATGAATTATAGTTCCTTTTGTAAAACAATCACCCGATTGTATCCTCGTAATAAAAGTTGTCAGAATAATAATAGTTAACTTTATACTAGAGAGAATTATCTCAACTGCATCATGATAAACTAATCAGTATGAAATGAACTACAACTTAATTTAGAAATTACTATTTAAAACTTCAGAAAAAAATACTTGTAAAAGAAGTGTATAAAAATATACCATATTGTTATTAAAAAAAACCTTGTTCAATAAGCATCCACAACAAACTGTTGACAGATCCGGATGGGGTCGAATCACCAACCTCTCAAAGCCAACTATCTACTTAATTTGAAATTAAATTAAAATAGCATTCACAACTTTTGTAGATTAGGTCAATGAAACATGCATTGAGCGCTCTACCATTTTGAGCTTACAGAACTTTCAAGAGAAACTACAGGATTTATAACGCAGTCTTTCTGCAGAAAACATAGCTATAATCAAAGTTTTGCAAAACATAGAATAATTCCTAAATTCATGAAAATAAATGGATCAAACATTTAGTTAAAAAATATTTCAACCCCTCCTCAATGTTCAAATCAAAATACTCTTTAACAAAATTTTCTCACCTTGGAAAGAAAATGCAGAAAATAATTCACAATCTTATGGAGAAATATTAACAACATAGCACTTCTTAAAACACTCTGTTCTATCTTATGTTTATTTAAAAACTATACAATCATGAATAAACCTTTTTAATTGAGTGAAACTCGTTAATTTTTAATATTTGTACTCCCAAAGAAAGAACATGCGTAAGAAAATGTTAGAAATCTACAATACATTTTTTCTCCAACAATTTCCAGATTAGGTGGCTATTTCTGTTCTCAACGAATTTCAAAAGAAGGCAACTGATGTGGCCAAATCACCTCTGTAACATATATTTAGAGAATATTCAAGCAACCCATTTGAACATTAAGAGCACATCATACACATACTATTTATAATATAGTTATATAATAATATTCATACAAGCAAACATAAACGTTAAAGATAATGGCCAATCCCTTGAGAAATTGCAATTTTTTTCTCATTCCACAACTTTCAAAATCCTGTTATTACTAAAACTTCAAACACATAATTTCTGATACCACAAGTTTAATTAAAAGAAAAGTATAATTTTTATATGATTAATAAATTAAATATATCCTCTAATATACATTTTAAATAATGTTTAATAATCATTGATTTAATTATTATTACTATTATAATATAATATAATAAAATATAATATATATATATATATAATATTAATACTAATAATCAGTACATTCTGCATAACAATATTTTTACTCACAACAAATCGACCAATTATCTAATATCACCTCACCTCTCAAAAAAGTTTCGAGCAATTGAAGTTGAATAATGTTTAAAGATCTCGTTGAATTCAAAATAAAACGATTATTTCCAGCGAAATGAATAAAATACATGATGAAAAAAGGACTTCCTTTCACACTTTACATTATCATCTTTGATAACTCATAAATATTGCATAATTGAGGATCAGGGCCCTTGCATGAAACATTAATCCTCATTTATAATCAAGTAGTAATTTAGGATCACATAAAATTCTAACTTAACACAATTTCCATTATAAGTGCACACATTAACATCTTTGACAAGAATCCCCAGTTGGAATTAATGAAGAAGGTAATTGGCATTATTTCACGTAAAAATTCATTCATTACTGAACAAGATCTACGCATGAACAATTCAATTGAAAGTTGGATTACATAAAAAAATAAACTCAAAATAAAAGAAAAAAAATCATTACTAAGCTTCAAATGTAAGAGATAAAATCTATGGTGATCCCATTCCATCCATAAAACATAATCAACAACATAAACCAGAGGCCAAACAGAATTATTCCAGAGACCGAAAACCATCAATGAGACTTTATTCACTAAAATTTTAGAAAGCTACCTCAAAATATTGATGAATAAGAACATATATTTGAAATGTTCCCTTGAATTTAGCCTTTTGAACACCTGAAACCTTGCAATTCTTTCTAGTCAAGCTGAGGAAGATCACTGCAATATTTGATACGATGAAACACTGTTCACACCCTTCCGGCTGCGAAGACTTCAATCGAACGAGTATATCTACAGAAAAATCTATGCATTGTGGGAAAATGAAATGCTAAATGTCAAGGAGAACAGATTGTGGGTTACAATTAATGATAAGAACTCAAACTGGAAATGATACTCGTAGTAATGGCGTTGCAAAATTTTAAAAGTTAACAGATGAAAAAATATCAATAAAGTGTTAACTAGTAGTTTCGCCTTTTGATTAGTTATTACAGAAGTCGACCGGAGGATCAATGTTGTTGTTACGAATCTATCATCCAAGCTGTTAGATATTCCCAGTAAATAAAAGAAAACGGTCAAAAAATTATAATTAACAACATAATATCACTTCAATTACTAATTCACCATTTCGAGAGATAAACTATAGTGATTAATTTTTCATATACGAGTTACTTGTTTCAATGTTTGCAATTGCATTGATTTTGTTAGTTTTTATTAGTATATTGACTATGTTACCAAAAAAGAAAGGCGTTATTGTAAAGGTAAAGTTAAATTGATAAATTAGACGATACCTTGTTAGTTCGATGACGAAGCGAGTCCAGTGGTGGTGTATCCGTCGCAAGAAAGAGTGAGAGAGGAAAAGAAAAATATAAAGAAAGGGAGAAAGAAGGAAAAGGAACACAGACACACACACCACCACACCAGAGGGAGAACCCGGGAATTCCCGTGCGATCTCCCTCAAAACCCACAAATAATTTTTCTTTATTAATTTGTATTGACCTGCCATGCAAGCGCACCTGTCATGGCAAAGGTCGATTGACAAAATTCTCCATAACCACTTCATCCCCAAATATTCAAACTACTACATACACCGAACCTATCCCCTCAAGAATCCTCATATAATTTCTTTAAATCCGAATGCGAAGAACTCCACACAGGAACGGCAACTATGAAGCGCTGCACCTGGTAATTTTGTTCTGGCGATCTGCGCTATATTCATCGAGCCTTCACGAAACAAGCAACACGAACACGATCATCACACCTCTGAACGGTAGATCGGTGACACCGGGCTTCAAATCTTGGAAAATCTTTAATCAAATAAGACACGTAAGTGATAGAACGTACGCAAGAAAATAAAAAGAATCGAAAAGTAATCGTACCAATTCGTAGGAAAAGCACGATTGGCGAGTAGATCGGAATCTGATCCATGTCAAAACCAGGTCACGAATAGGAAAACCGAACTCTTGAGACGTGGTACGTACGAGAGGAATGAGAGAACTTCTGAATTGAAAATAGGGGAAACGCACCAGTTATTATATATAGGGTTGTTTTAGTCGAATGAACGGTTGAGATTTCCAACTTTAGACGCGTGATATTCTCTGCAACAGCCAGATAGTGTTGGTTAGATAATCCCTTCTGACTCGTGCTTGGTTGTTATTTTTTTTTCAAGTAATAAATAAATAGACTCACTAATATCAGCATACTCTATCATCAAACAACGATATTTTAAAAGTTATTTAATATTTATATTAAATATAAGAGGGAATATAAAATTTCGAAAAGAGATAAAACAAATTATAAGCCAAATGATTTTTTTTTTAAATTCATAGAGATAAAAACAGCTTTTTAAGTAATCCTCTTAATATTCAACAACCACAACATATAGCAACGTATTTATTAGTATTTAAATGAAAAACAAAATAGAGAAAAAAATTAAAAAAAATTCTTAAACTTTAAAGAATAATATAATTATTATTTCAGACATGCAAAACCTTTTATTGGTTGCTTTTAGTTTTTATAATTTGATAAAGATCAAATATTGTAAATTTATGATGTCAACGAGTAATTAAATTCGAGTAATAAGTATCAATTTATGATTATTTGTTTTTTTTTTCGTAATTGAATGATATATGGAGTGTAATTAATGATTTCATTGACATTAAGATTTCAAGATACACACATGACCATGACCATTAAACTAAATCAAATATCTAATGACAAGGGCCAATAAGAATAAAAAACTGATGAATTAAAGCAATAATTGAAATTAATAATAAGCAGTAAAAGGAAAAGGACTTAATTAAGAGATGGAAAAAAGTTTAGTGTCATTTGAAGGTGGAAAAGAGTTCTTCATTTTGATTCTAATAAGCTCAAGATGAGATTTAAAGTATAAATTTGAGAACAAGTTAGCATGTGGTGAATACGTTCAATTTCTTTTTGTTCTCTTGTTATGGTTGTTTCCATTTGAATAAGAAAAATAACAAAAGCATGATTTCCTACAAGTTTATCTTAAATGAATGAACGGTTAAGTTATATTTTAAGGCTTTACCGTAATATTAGGCTATTTCCGTTATTAAAATTTTTTTTATGATGTTTATTCTATCATATAATTTTGTTTCAAAAATATTGATTTCTTTTAGTGCATAATATCAGCTGAAGGTCTAATTTTGCTATTTTTCTTTTATAATGCTATAATTTTTTATAGATTTTAAATTACATCAATGGTATAAAATTATTTGAAACCATTATGTTGTTTCAAATAATTTTATACCATATAATATATATTATACATTCATTAAGTATATTATTTTTCCAAAAGTCATTAAAATTAAAGAATAATATTATTAGTGATTGAAAAAATAGTCACTAAATTAGATGGAAATTGGTGACTAAATTAGATGGAAATTGGTAACTAAATTAATTACTTGTTTCAGTCACTAAATTAGTTATTAAATTTATAGTTGATTTTGTTCAATAAATCTGATTTTTGTTACTAAATTGATTACTAATTTTGGTTACTAAACTAATCAATAATTTTGTAACTAAATCAGTCATTGATTTCAGTCCCTAAATCGGACATTGATTTCAATCATTAAATCATTGATTGATTTTGCTGTGTATTAGTGACCAAAGAAATAATGATCGATATGGGTCGTTTATTAAATCGATCACTACTTTCATTAGTGATGGATGGTAATATAGTAATTGAAATTTTGGTCAATATTTCATATTTTTCTTATAATGAAAAATGAATTTAAAAGAAATATGACCATAGATAATTTTAATTAAATCTATAGATAAAATAAAATTGTATATAGAGATATTACATACAAACTTAAGTGAATATTATATTTAAAAAAGTTGATAATATAAATCTTGAAGTACGTCTTGCTCATTCTATTTGGTTACCCTATTATTCTCCTCTTGTGTCCTAATATTTGTTGTTTTTCTTAAAGTCTCTTATTCATTATTCTTTCTAAGATTTTAGTGTTGTTTTCCTTGAAGACGTTAATTTGTGCCATAATAGTTGTTATAGTTCATACCTTCTTCATTATGTGATTAAACTTTACAAATTTAAAGTTTATTTATACCAAATGCTAGAAGTTGAAGTGATGGCATTATGTGATTAAAGAACAAGGTTGAAATACAAGGTGAACTAATAAGACTATTTATAAGCTGCACTAACACTCACGACTGAATCTCTGTGAGTTTGTTGTATATTGCTTTTTGCATTATTTTATTCTTGTAGAAAACTTGCTCTCTTCCCATTTCAATTAGCTTTTAATTAACTATGAAATTCTATGGCAACTATCAAACCTAATAGGAATGTAAATTTTGACAGGGGAACATGGATCCTAAGTAATGGTCATCCAACAATCGTTGGATAGTCAAATAATGTTGTGTTGTCTACATTACTTTAGTTTCTGTCCACTTGAGATTGTGTTAACATCTTATACAATAGTGCAACGAAGGGTTATTGCTTCGGTTGTTTTGGGTTTATGACCATGGTTCCTGAACCGAGGTATATACAGGTGAGGCAAAATGGGATAACCTTTTTGCCTCGGTTCTGAACCAAGACAATATGTGTGAGTTTTTTGCCTCGGTTGGTTTCGAACCGAGGCGGTAGATGCCTTTTTTATTTTTATTTTTTTCAGAAAATGGGGACTTTTGCTTTTCAAAATATTTTCTTTTTCTTTTTTATTTGGGACAACGGAGGCGGCGACGAAACAGCCAAAGGCGGCAACGAACGGCCAAAGGCGACGACAAACGACTGAAGGCGATGATGAACGACCGAAAACGGTGACGAACAGCCAGTGTCGATGACGTACAACCAAAGGCAACAACGAACAACTAGTTCGCGTGAGAGAAGTAGAGACAATGGCGACGATCGGTGGTGGAGGCAGTGGCGACGACCAATGGTGGAGGCAGCGGCAACGACCAACGGTGGAGGCAACAGTGACGACCAATGGTGGAGGCAACGACGACGACCGATGGTGGAGGCAGCGGCGGCAGAGCGAGTTGAGGATGGTGAGTCTGAGGTTAAGTTTGTTTGGTGGGAGTTGAGGATGGTGGTGGTGAGAAGGTTGTGGAAGGGGAGAATGCAAGGTCTGATATTTAAAAATCGAAGAAGCTATAGGGATCTAAAGACAACCGATGCCTAAACCTATCATAAAAAATTCAAAAAAAAATTATAAATGGCAAAAAAAAAACTATAAGGATCGGTTCATGGTTAAACCGAGGCATAAAGGTCTTATGACATCGGTTCAAATGGAACCGAGGCAATAAAGGCTAACAAAATTGATTTGAAACGTTCAGATCCAGAGGTTGTCAGCTTTTGGCAGGACATACTGCCTCGGTTCTGCACAGAACCGAGGCAGTAAGCCTATTTTGAAAAAGTTGGCAGGTGAAAAAGCTAATTTACAGAAGGAAAGCAGAGTTTTTTGCCTCGATTGGTCAGAGAACCGAGACAGTATACCCTTTAGACATCAGTTCCAATTGAACCGAGGCATATAATTTCGCAAAAATTACGAAATTGCCACCGTGTTTTGATACGCTTCGGTTTCAAAAAAACCGAAACGTAATGTGCGAGTTAAAAACCTCTTTTTGTACTAGTTATCTTGTCATGGTTCTTATAACTCTTATAAGAATGTGTTGCTTAAGTTATTTTATGGCATTCATACATTCATCACCATTTATTTAGAGATGTTCCCGTGGTGTGAATGTTTGCTTAATTATAAGCTCTTGACAAATTGTGAAAACATGTCGACTAGCAAACTAAGTGCCATTACTAAACACATGCAAGACTATAAATCTACACATCGAAATGAACTACTTAATTTTTTCTATTGATTTTATGAATAATGGTTTTGGTTCAATTCACTTTGTAAAGTATTCAATTTTGACTATTAGGAATTTAAGTAGGTGGACTAGTTGTGGTAAGGGATCAAGAATATTAATTCTCCATTTTTAACAATATTGTGAAATGATATATTATGGGTACTTTCGGTTTCTACTTGTCACATTTGTGCACATATCTCATATAGTCCTACTTTAAACTTTCGATATAGTGTTTATCTTTTGTTGGACTAAGGACTCACTAAATATATTGACTTAATGTGCTTTCCCAAAAGCATCACGTACTTTTTTTTTGTTAGGTTGTGGGATTTTGACAATGATTTTGAATAAATGTGTCATGTAACCCTATCATTATTTCATGTCAAGTAAGTTTCCTTTTAAGGGACTTGATCTTATTTGTGTAAAATGGGCTTTGAACATAATAGAAGACTTTTCAAATGAAGAAATGAAACTATCAAGTAAGTTGTTAAACCAATTCAATGCAGTGTTCAGTGGTGTGCCAATGAATATGTTTTCATTGAACCCATTCGATCTACCTAAGATTGGGGAAAATAGTGCTTTAAAATAACTAATTGAATCTTATGATCCTACATAGGGACAACATTTGGAACAATGTAACTAATTAAAATCACTTACAGTTTATTTATGAAAATAAAATGTTACAAATTTTCATATCAAAACCTTGTTTACAACAATCACTTAAAATGTTGTTTCACAAACTCCCACTATTCAAAATAGCACTTCAATTACTTTCCACAACTTATTTAATCTTTCCCAGAGTCCAACATAAGACACTTAATCAGGCTTTCATTTGCTACTTAGGTTAGAAAAATAAAAATGAATACAAAAAAGATTAAAACTACTATTGTGCAAAAGATAATCTAATATTGAGATTTATGGGTATTATTCTCAGCTTTCGATACAGACATAGTATATTATCGAGTGATGATGAATCAAACGATTATCATCAAGATCATGCATCTACAACACTTTTATTGAATCCTTTTTCACTTACACTTGCCATTTCATATTTCATACTTGGTGAAACAATCCGTATAAATCATCCATAGTAGTAATTTAAAACAAGTATTTTAATAAACACGAGCTTTAGGAGGGAATGATTCCACCTCATTGTCCAACGTGTTCATGTGCACTGGCCTGTAATCTAACCGGACCTTCTCATTCTCCCAATATCTGCAAATCATGCACAAAAGCTCAGCTAACAAAAGCAAAGCAACTCATAAACATAAGTATCTATACCGTCGAAAGTGTGACGGTAAATCCGGCAAACCACA